TCAGGCTGCCGAGACACAGGGGTTGCTGGAGACTAAAGTAGGCCTCTTCAGAACTTAGCTTTGCGCGCATGCTTATGCAGGCCAGCTACTCCTGCCTGCATAAGCATAGACTCTGACTCCAGCAACCCCGCTGATAAAAAAGAAGACCGCTCCTTGCACGCTCTTCTTTGTCTGCAGTGCATGCACTAGGCAAACTGTTCACATGAACAAACATTTTCATCAGTTGCAGCAGGGCTCGTAACCAAAACCTTGGAACCCTTGCATGATGCGCTGTCCGTAATTGGTGCAGCCTGAGGTAATTGACCTGAGGCTCGCGCTGCAAGTTAATACCCAAGACCAAGGCGGCCGGCCATGTGCTGGGATAATGGAAAAAACATGGAAACTACTATGATATATAGGGGTTATATAGAGGTTATATAAGGATTATTTGGTTTAAGGTTTAGGGTTGGATGGTCATGCATGCAAAAGAATATGGACGATCAAATAAATGGATACTGCTGCATCACATCCAGTTTAGGGTTTTGTGGCCCATTTCATTGACTGACGGATAATCAACTGGAAAATATCATGGAAAATCAAATGGCATCATCTGGGCATATATAGGGGGTTCACAGGGCTTTCTTAAACCCTAAACCGCGTACCTAATTAGGTAGCATTGAGTCTGGAAACCTCAGAGCTGCCAAGCCTTGGTGATAGCTCTGCCCTAGCGGCCTGGTAGGCTCCCACAGAGCTTACCATGCGTGCTGGTCCCTCTCCTAGTCAAAAAGGCTGCTCCTGGCACCGGGCATCCATGCCACGTTCCTGGAAGAGATGGTAGTTTCCCAAAAAAGGAGGACCCTCCTGTAGAACCCAAAAAGATATGATCCTTATTCTAGGGACCCCGAAAGAAGGTACCCGTAATTTTGGGAAAGCCCCATCTGCAGGCAGATGCACATGTAAGCTGGCTGGTGATCATCTTTCTGGCTTGGGAAGCAAGGGCACCCAGCAGCCATGGCACTGTCTGCCGTTGGCAATCCGAGCACCTCTGCCATAAGATGCTCGCACGCCCTTCAGGAGCAGCACGGCAGCCTTCCCCGTAATCCGAGATTTCGTGCAGGTGAGAACCAGGCCGGCCAGCGTGGAGCATCCGCGGCTCTTTCTGTTGCCCTCCTGGGGGCACCTCTGGGCCTGAGAGCTAGATTCAGAAACTCGGAGACACGAAGAGGAAAAACAAGACATTTCAGGAGTTTTCGAGTACAGCGCAAGGCAAGCGCAGAAGAAGCAAATGCCGTGGCTGTTGAAGAAGATTCTGACGAAGACGAGAACTACAGAGCCGCACCTCGGATGCATCAGCTGCGCTTGCCATGTTTCAAATTTTGCCTGATGCGCGGCAAGCTTGCAGAGGCAACACCGCGAGAGCGTCAGTTTGGAATCTACGAGCCTCCCATCCGGAGGAGTTCTGGATCTCGTGCCGAGCCGGTGGAACTGCCCCTGTCGCAGCTACTGGGTTGCTGTTAAAAACCTTAAATAAAGTTACCATAATGGGTATATATAGTAATTTATATGGTTCCCCCAATATAGTAACTTAAGTTAAGTTCCTTAACAGCAACCCAGGCTACACATCGTGGCTGCCCAGCGGCAACTGCCGCTCTGCTTCAACCGGTTTTGCTTCCTCGGACGCTGTAGGTCACAATCTGGCTTGTGATGCCATATTAGACAGTAATGTAGTATAGTAGTATATGAAATATGTATATATATTTATATATATATGACAGTGTATTATAATTCAAAATAATATATTGCAGTAGAGTATGGTATATTATAGTATGCTATAGTATATGATCATGGAGTATACCCATACTCTCGTATATTATATTTCTTATCATATACTCAATTACCCTAAACCCTAAAGCTGGATCCAGGCCTTCACTCCTGGAGGCGCATGGAAAGGTAGATGCCTCGGCGGCTGTAGCGGCGTGGTCCGAGCTCCTGTGAGGGCCCAAGATCATCTGGATGTTTCCCAAACTTAGGTGTTCCTTTTAAAGGGTTATATAGGGCGCGTATGGGGTTTAGGGTCTGGGGTTTCCCAAAATTAAGGGTACTTGTTTCCCAAAATCACGCACATGTTACCCTTAGAATGGGTTTAGGGTTTAGGGTTGTCAGGAGTTACATCGGGATTTCTTAAGGGATATATTACCCCCAATAACTTAGAATCACATGGAACAGAATATGGAACATGAAATGGAAACTGGGGTTATGTAGGGGTTCAATTGGGAGGTTTCCGAAAATTCGGGTACCATTTCCGGGGTCCGCATAAAAAGGATTACGGTCTTCTGGGATCTATATCGGGGTTCCCTCGTTTAGGGGAATCACAACTTGCTTCACGTGAAAAATGCTATGTCAAGTCTAGAATGTAGTTGCAAGGTTGGACAGCTGTCGCTTGAGTTGAGAAGGCTGGCAGGCAGCCTCGTGTAACGATTCATGCCAATGCCACGCATGCAATCCAAAAGTGGTTGCCCCGCAGTCAAAAACTCCGGAAGAAGGTTAACTCAGATCCGCGAATAGACCTGCACGACCTGCCCACAGAAAACAACAATTCTGTCGGGGTGCGCGCGCACTTGGTTTGTAGTTCAACTTGCCGCGGTACGTAGAGGTTCTGAGCGCGGTAGAGGTTCCGAGGGCAATGCACGCTCTAGATGCCAAGTCTACAATGTGATCTGTTTTGTGACTTAGCGAGTGCCGCATGTGAGTGTGCTGAGCACGCAGAACATCTGATGATTATTGGCAGCTATTGGAGAGTCAAACCAAGGCAGATTTGCCAGCGGCGGGCGCCGGCGCTGCTGGCCACCTGGAGCTGTGGCGTCGGTCCGCTTCTTCGCTTCGCAGTGCTTGTCCCCCGGGACCAGTGGCTTCGCGACCCGGCAGATTGGGAGGCTGATGGTCCGGTTGTGCAGCTGGATCCCGATGGTCCGGAGGGTCCCATGACAGGCTTTGAGGCCTTGCCTATGCTGGAGAGCCTCCTGCGACATCTCATCACGAAGTACGATGATGCCCCGATGATGCTCGCTGGTGCCTTTACTTGGAGTGATGGCGCAGGCGGGACCTTGCGCGAGCGACCGGGTCGGGAAGTGGTGCTCTGCAGCGGAGCTGGGGTTCAGCTGTGCACTCGCTTCGGAAGGCTCTTTGTGGAGGTCTGCAGGGGAGACCGAAAGCCAGTTGCTGCAGCCCAAGATCTGTTGATGGCCAATCTTTCCAAGAAGATGGTGAGCAAGCTCTTGCAGGGTGACTCCAAGCTTCCAGCACCTCCTCCTGTTGAAGTTCCTGAGAGCGTGCGGCATGTGCAGCCGCTCTCCGTCACCCTGGCGAGCCCTTTGATGGCTCTGAGGCGGGCACAGATAGAAACGCTTGGTGGGCCTCCGAGATTCGCCGAGGCCTTGGCCAGAACGCAGTTGGCAAAGGACCATGCGGAAACAGCTGTCCAGCAAAAAGGGGCTCGTGTGTTGCTCTTTCTCTGACTTTCTTCTTCCTAACAAGACCCCCAGCATCCTGAGGACTTGGGCACCGAAGAAGAGGAGGAGTTTGCCCTGAGCATCATGTCTTGGGCCTGCCGCTTTGCGGACGAAGAGGAATTGCAAGACCAGAGCAGTGCCGCACAAGCGGTCGAATGGTTGCTGGCGCAGCGTGCGCTGGACGCCAAGTTTTCCTTAGTTGTGGCCGGCAACCCTCGGGCACCCAAGAAAGTCTTGGAGGCTGCAAAGCGAGATGCAGCAACGCTCGAACTACAGCGGCTTCAGACGAGTGGCCAGCGCTTCCTTTCCAACCCGGGCAAAATCAAAGGCTTCGTGAAGAGGGGCGTCATGGCAGCCTTTGGCTCACCATATGGCTTGGATTCCTCGAATCCGGGCAAAGTGCTGCCACAGGGACTCCGTGCCATGTTGGGCATGGAAGGCGGAAATGTCCGTGAGCCGGAACCACCTAACAGCTGGCATGGGGACACGTATGAACCCTGTGAAGCTGAGAGGAGCTTCTTGATGGATCCAAAGCTCCTTCGAAAGGCCACTGTTCGCATTGACGAGATCCTTAGCTTCGAGTACCTGCAGCATGTGGGCCAGACAATGAAGAATCTGGGTTGCTGTTAAGGAACTTAAATTAAGTTACTCTTTTGGGGAAACCCATTCATTTACTACATATACCCATTATGGTAACCCTAAACCCTATATATACCCATTATGGTAACTTAATTTAAGTTCCTTAACAGCAAACCCAGGAATTGTCTTCGAGCCGAGAGGAGAGGCGGCATGAGCCTGATGAAGTATCTGAGCCGTGTGAACCTGGGGCTGCTGTTAAGGAACTTATATTAAGTTACCACAATGGGTATATAGGGTTTAGGGTTTAGGGTTACCATAATGGGTATATATATATGTATAGTGTATAATAGGGTTATCCACTCTAGTAACTTAAATTATGTTATATATATATATATGTATAATGTATAATAGGGTTTCCCACTATAGTAACTTAAATTATGTTATATATATATATAGTGTATAATAGGGTTTTCCCACTATAGTAGCTTAAATTATGTTATATATATGTATAGTGTATAATAGGGTTTTCCCACTATAGTAACTTAAGTTATCTTCCTTAACAACCACCCAGGAAGGCTCGGGAAAGCAGCTTCTGGGTCATGACAATTACAGCAGAGGAGACTCAAGAGGAGGAGGTAGAGGCCCCCGTGCAGCACATGCTGCTCATGGAGGTCTACAACGGTCTCAATGTCATCCACCAAGCAGAAGGCCCTCATTGTTCCAGTATTAGCAGACATAACAGTACCACTTCTAATAGTAACTATAGTGAAAAACCCTAAACCCTAAACCCTAAAAAGAATATGATCTCAATAATAGTTAATCAGAAGGCCCCCATCCACGTCGCTGGCCGCGGCTGGACGCCTGGATGTGGCTCCAGGAATGGGCCAAGCAAGAGGGCCTGCGCCCGGATGGCCCTGAAGGTGTCACGGTTGGGCCTTATGGCGGCTATGGTGGATCCATGGACAAATGGGACATCAGGAGGTGCTTTCTGTGGTGAGAGCTCCCCTGGGAGCTCCCCAGCACACTCCTGTCGAGGACTTTCGTACAAATGTTCAAAGTGGTGACACCTGCCACATCCTTGCTGAAATGTGAGGGAACCAGTCTCAGCACAATAGTTTGAAAGATGTGTGCCACATGCTTAATAAGCTTGCCGAGATTGTGGCCTTGTTCATAGACGGAGCTTTGAGACATGAGCTCCAAGAATCCTGATCTTCCCGAGTCTACGTGACTCACTTGCAAGAGCTTTTCCGCCATACCAGGCTGCGTCACTCTAAAACCAAACCCGGTTCATGACAGGAGAAAAAAGGAATCTGCAGCCCGTGCCAGGAGCCTCTTTCTGTCGATCCCAGGTTGAAAACCGCGTTGTACTCTGACTTGGTTCATGTGGGTTGTTCTCAAAATTATGGGCCCGTGTTGTTTATAGACAATATTACCCTGGTATTTAGGTGTACCAAAATGGTATCCTAATTATGGGAATCACTCATACATAACCCTGAACCCTAAACCCTTTACCCTAAGCTCTAAATACTAGTTTGCATTTTCTTTTCCATTACCCCATATAATCTCCTTTAAGGAGTTTAGACTACAGCTCACCCTAAACCCTCAACCCGAAACCCTAAACCCTAAACCCCATATATCCACAGCCCGGGATCCGAGATGCAAGTGTCAGGGGTGTCGCAAGGGCAGCCTTGACTCAATGCACGGGCCGCTGGGAAGGGAAAGTAGACAATGTGTTTAGGGTTTGGGGGTATAGGGTATAGGGTTTAGGGGTTTAGGGTCCCCTAAAGTACATAGAATATGGCTTTTGGTATATTCTAACAAGATCCCCATATACCCCATATTCTATCTACTTAAGGGGGGCTATAAACCCTATAACTCCTGATGTGCGCATACATGGGGATTCCCGAGATTACGAGTACTTTTATGCAGTCCTCATGATAAGGGCTAGAGTATTTTAGGGTTTATTTTGGGGTCCCCCTATTGTCAGAAACTACCACACAACCCCTACATCCTCCTCTGACTGGGTTGCTGTTAAAGAACTTAAATTAAGTTACCACAATGTGCATATTTATACTAAATAATAGGTTTGCCCAATATAGTAACCGTGTATTCTGATCCTTACCAGCAACCCAGTTGAAGGGACCTCTGACTTTCAACATGATCAGGACTCTCCAGATGCAGCTCTGGAGCCACCTGGGTGTACTTCTTTTGGCCGCTACGGCAGTTGCTTTTTCCGTGCGGCCCAGCAGGGATTAGGACTAAGGGTTTAGGGATTAGGATTTAGTAGGGTAGGATTTAGGGTTTAGGGATTAGGATTTAGGGTCTAGGATTTGCGGTCTAGGGATTATGGCTTAGCGTTTAGCTAAGCTATTTTTTTCACAGATACAGTTTCTGTACATTTAGGGTTTAGGATTTAGCTATTACCCCTATATTAGTCCTATATAACCCTCTATAGAACCCTTTATTATAACCCCTATGTTACCAGTACTGCTTGTTTCGTGTGTAATCGAGGTTCGCAACTGCCTTTGGTCTGGCAATTTGGAGACATGGCCTTCTGGCCCTGTTAGCAAGCGAGGCCGGGATGCGAAAGGGGTTACTATTTAGTGATTGTAGGGTATGTATTGGGGTTATATAGGGATTAAAGGGTACATATTGGGGCTACATAGGGATTATAGGGTATGTATTGGGGCTACATAGGGATTATAGGGTATAGCGAGGAAAGGAATATCTTAGAGGTATATACGTACAATGGAAAAGAGAATGGAAGCTACTACAGAATAAATTGGGGTTATTTAAGTATAATGGAAAAGAACATGGAAGCTGCTACAGAATTTGTTGGGGTTATATATAGATATAATGGAAAAGAAAATGGAAATAGACCTTTGATGCAGTCCCTGCTGAATGTCAGGTGCCCGCGGTTCTCCGGCGCCCACTGTGCCTTGGCAAGTAGGAGTGCGGTCGTTCACTTGAGCTGTAGTCTAAACTCCTTAAATAAAGGGGGTTCTTCATGTAGGGGATTATATAGGGCCAGGGGAGTATTGTAGGAGTTATTAAAAGGGATACTAGGAGTTTAGACTTTAGCTCACTTGGTGTGGGTGGGGGCAGATGCGGCTGCGAAGCAGCCCACAGTCATGACAGCTCTGAGGTTCGACGTTTTGCGTGATGCCATCCAAGCCGCAAAGCAACGGCTCATCAGCTTTGCTCGCTTCTGCATGTTGCTGGGTTGCTGTTAAAGAACTTCACTGAAGTTACTATATTGGGGAGACCCTATTATTTTCTATATATACCCACTATGGTTACTTAATTCAAGATCCTTAGCAGCAATCCAGGTTGGTCTGCTTCACCTTGGACGAGGAAGAGCAGACTGCCATTCGCAATGGCCTTGGGCCAGAACTCCAGGATCTTCTTTTCAGAGCCTCCCTTGCATTATCTGCTCTAAAAGCACGCCTTTGTGATTGTGTTGTAGTAGCATGTACCTCACCGAGGACGACCGCTTCTGCAACTGTTGCCCCGTCCCGTGCGGCGTTTTCTGCTCGGTCCTCCTGACTCAGCGGTGAACAGTGCGGAGACTCAGAGACACTACGCTACAACATGCAATAATAACACATATTATAATACAATTTGCTGTCATATACTATACAATACTATAATATGCTGTAATACTATATGCCATAATATGAAAGGTCTGGGTGGGAGGTTCGCATCCTGTGATTTTTGCCAAGAACCTAGGTTTGCCGCAGTTGACACCCAGAGACGGACGGGAGAGGCCTGGGGGATTTGTGAGGTTTGTGCAGTCATCATCTTAGGTCTATTATGGTGATTTTTTTTTTTTTTATATCATACATCATAGTATAGTACATTTATGGTATATCATAGTATATTGCACTATGGTGTCTTATCATATAGTCGAATTTGCTATTGTATATATAGTCTCTTATGTCATGCATGGGGTGCACATTCACAGCCTTCCTGCTCATGGCCAGGCCCAGTGTGAGGACTCCTCCAGCTTCCGCAGCTCGATTCAAGGGTTTAGGGTTTAGGGATTAGGGTTTAGGCTTAGGGTTTAAGGATCAGGGATTAGGGTTTAGGCTTAGGGCCTAATGATTAGGGATTAGGGTTTAGGGGTCAGGGTTTAGAGATGAGGGGTTAGGGTTCAAGTCTGGATATGCGCAGAGACACGCAAATCTAAACCCTGTCTGGAGGTTTCCCAAAATTAGGGGTCCTTTGTTAGGAGCCCAGCATGAGGATTACAGTATTTGGGTGTCTATATTGATCTCCCCGTCTTTGTGGAAAGTACCATGAAACAGCACTACAACAAACCCTATATGGGTGGTTGTCAAAATTATGTTCCCTTTTTGGGTACCCTAAATATTAGGTGCCGTATTATAATAGGGACCCAAGAAGGGACCATAATTTTGCCAAACAAACCCTATATAACTTTTGCGTAACTCCGTCTGGCAGGGGTTTCGTGTCAAGGCTATGGTCCGCTTTTTGGGTGTCGCTGATAGTACAGCCCCTAATGTGTAGGGCCCCCTCAACAGAAGGGATTTTTGACAACTCCGTATTTAAAACCCTAAGCCCTAAACCCTAACCATACAACTTATTTTGGGTACTGCCCCTCCTCAGTAACAGTTGGACAATAATTACAATGCAGTTATATATAGCCCTTCAGAGGACCCCTAAAAGAGACTGTTACTGGGGGGGGCAGTACCCAAAGCTTATTGGATTCTTGGCCCTGAGGTAGCCTCTCAGAATGAGCTGAAGGTGCCTGCTTTGGAGGCAGTGCTCGCAGAGTGGACTGTGGGCGCCTTTGCCACCTACGCAGCTTGGTGATCAAGGAGCTTGTGAACCCTTAGGCTTTGTGCCCTTTGGGGTTTGGACCCCAAACTTGGCTACAAACCGTAAGTAAGGGTACGGACTTAAAGCCTTTGAGCGACGAATCATGAACGACCCTTTGTTTTGCTCTCCACGATGCGCGAAGTGATGCTTTGCTGCTAGGGTGGTGAGCTAAGGTGAAGCTCATTAGCATCGGCACCTGCAGACAAATGCAGAATCTTCTGGCAAGATGGAAGACGGTTGCAGCAACTTTGCGGGATGGGGTGTCTTACTGGTGCTTAACGGAGTGGGGTAGGTGTCGTTATACGGGACGATGGAGGGCTTTAACTCTCCCACTGAAGCACCAGTGAGGCATGCTTACATGAAGTAGTCCCTAAACCCTAAACCCTAAGCCGTAATAGCAATACCTCAAGGCCACTCCAAAGCTCTGGAACCAATTGTTGGACTTAGCTCCAACCCTGCTGGGTGGATCCATGCAGCTTGGCACAAGTATGGCAATGTTGGCAAAACAGTGAGTACAACGGCAATAGTGATATAGTAGTAATAGTAGTAGTTATGGAACGCTGATAGCAATAGTGATGGAGTAATAGACTGATGAGTATTATGGTAAGATAGCAATGTAATGATATGGCAAGAGGATGATGTGGTAACACGGCAGTGAGGTAGTATAATAATGTGGTAGTAGGGTAATATCGTAATATAGTATTATGGCGATATAGTATTACATCATTATAGCATGATAGCAATGTAGCAACACAGCTACATAGTAATGTTGTACTATAGTAGCACTTAACATAGTGATATAGTAATATGGCAAGATCGAATTATTGTAATACATGAATGTTTTGATATGATAGTAATATGATGACGTGGATTTTTTTATATGCATACTAGAATGATGGAAAAACGAAGTAACTGCCCTTGCGCACTGCAATGCCGAGCATAGGATAAGCCTGGGCTGCGGATCTATTGGCCTGGTGGGTGGAGGCTGGACCATGACTGTTACTAGATTACCAGATTACTGTTACTTTACTTGTACTAGTTTTCTTCTTGTGACGACGATGACGATGACAAGTACTACTACGACGACTACGAGGACGACTACTACTACATTTTCATGTTCCTCAGAGAGAGCAATGCTGTGGCAGCAGGCTTCGTGGG